CAGGGTCCTTAAAAGTCAGTTCCAACTTGTCTGTACATGAAAACAACAAAGCACGTCCTGGCCAGGGTAGTAAGCTGTGGGCCATCTTTAAAAGAGGTTGACTAAGGAAGCAGACTTTAAAAACAACAGAAAAAAAGCAGGCACTGATTCTGATTCTAAAGCCAATAGGAAAAAAACATTTATTTTCACACAACATTGTAGAGAAGTTTGCTTTAAAAATCTTGGTCCTCGTTTAAACCTTTAGATCCCGCAGAATGTACCGATGTAAGCTATTTCAGCTGCCACCTTTTGTAATTCATCTTTTATATAACAGAAACACTAAGATCAGTAACAGATTGCCCTGGAAGTCCGAAGAGTGCTAAATGGGCTTTTATCTTGCCATTTCTGGTGTCAGATTTGTGTCTATTTACAATCTCGTGAAGAGACTGTCCGACTTCCTGTGTGTAGGATGCTGAGGGGCACTAAGGATGACATAGATCACACTAGCAGATAAATAGGTCAATTAGTACCTGATACTGTGGGTAACATTGCTGTGATTCATTACTATGCTGACAAGAGTAAATGTGCAGACGCAGTTGGCACGCAGATTTGTAGCAGGGTCTTCTTTCTTTCTGTCTCTGTATCCATGTTGTCCATATTCCATCTCCGTATCCATCCAATAGAAGGGGAAGATATGGAGGTATGAAAGATTTTAGTTTCTTGGGCTCCCTGGTCACTGCAGATGGTGACAGCAGCCATGAAATTAAAAGATGCCTGCTTCTTGGGAGGAAAGCGATGACAAACCTTGACAGCATCTTAAAAAGCAGAGACATCCCCTTGCCGACAAATGTCCAAATAGTCAAAGCTATGGTTTTTCCAGTAGTGATGTATGGAAGTCAGAGCTGGACCATAAAGAAGGCTGACCGCTGAAGAATTGATGCTTTTGATTATGGTGCTGAAAGAGACTCTTGAGGGTCCCCTGGACTGCAAGGAGATAAACCCTATGCATTTTGAAGGAAATCAACCCTTAGTGCTCACTGGAAGGACAGATCCTGAAGCTGAGGCTCCAATACTTTGGTCCTCTCATGAGAAGAGAAGACTCCCTGGAAAAGATCTTGATGTTGGGAAAGTGTGAAGGCAGGAGGAGAAGGGGACGTCAGATGACGAGATGAATGGACAGGGGCACCGAAGTGACCAACATGAATCTGACCCAGCTCCAGGAGGCAGTGGAAGACGGGAGGGCCTGGCGTGCTCTGGTCCATGGGGTCACGAAGAGTCGGACATGACTAAACAACTAAACAACAACATCATGAAAGGAAGTCAATTAGATCTGAATAAGAATTGGACATGACTAAATAACTAAACAACAAATCCATGTTGTGTGATCTGTTGTGTATCACTACAATAGGACCCCCGTATCTGCAGGCTCAGTATCCGTGGTTTCACATCTGCAGTCTGAAAATATTAAAAGGAAAAAACCCTAGAAATATGGATTTTGATGATGTATTGAAAAGAAATAGCCACTAGAGAGAACCAGAGACCATGCTATGCATTGTTGTTGTTGAAGAACACATAGCACAGTCTATGGCTCCCTCTAGGGGACAGTTTAACATGAAAACACTTTTTTCTGAATTTTTTTCCTTTTACCCTGCTATGTCTAGCTTTTTCTGTGGTTTTCAGCATCCACGGGGGGCTTTGAACCCATCCTCCATGGATATGGGGGTCCTACTGTAGTTCCTAAAAGTTGCAAAGCAGTTGTAAATGAACACAGGCCTTGCATTCAGAGACTGGGAGAGGGACACATTCTTGTTCAAAATGGCCAGTGGATCATTGATGATTGGTGGGAAAAGAAGGTGGCAAAAATACTGCAGCATTTGAAAGACTATCAGCTTTATTTTAGCACGAGCTCAATTAGATCAAAATGTGCTTCCTCAGATACCGGAAATGCATATTCTACTGGACTTGTACTCCTTGTGCCTGAGGAAGTGGATTTTAATCCACAAATGCTCACACTGAACTGCAATTGTTCATCTTTGAAGTGCTACACTTTTTCTTTTTCTTTTGCCAACATGCTGAGACAGACTGACACAGCTACTTCCTTTGGAAATTGCTAACTTCAGTTGTTCGCTGTTCGAAGCTGTAGCTGATTAAAAGCTTCGTTGCACCTTTTAAATTCCTATTTTTATGGACATTTTACAGACTATACTGCACCTTCAGTTCTAACAGTGCTAAATGTGGTGACTTGATTGTCAGTCTTGGAGAAACCTTGTATCAACATCACCCAGTAATCTCCACAAGAAAGAGTTTGAACCCACCTCTCTCCCTTCACCTCTGTTATCTGCCTCAGAGGATTATTTAGAAGGTAATGATACGTACACCACACACTAAAACCACCTGGAGCTCTTTGGATGAAGGCAATGATAAAATGTCATAAATGAGACAAATCATGATTTTTGTTTTATGAAGAAAGAACTTGCAACTTGCCCAAGTCCATTTCAAAAATCTGATGCTGAAACTGGTATTAAGTCTCCTGGCAGAAGCCTCCAACTGGGACATGCAGCCTCTAAAATAAACTTTTTTGGGCTCAAAGATATCTCTGGTGCACTCTAGTAGACATGGTGGATGATTTTGCCATGTAGAATCAAGCTGCGCGGCTGGTGAGTTGGTGGGGCCACTAGGGAACACATCAGGCCAATTCTGTTCAAATTGCATTGGCTACCGGTCACTGCCTGGGCCCAATTCAAAGTGCTTGTTTTGACATATAAAGCCCTTAAACGGCTTGGGCCCTGGATAGGACCACCTCCTTCCATATACACCTTGCCGGCGATAAAGATCTAGCCAAGGGGCCCTTTTGAAAGAGCAGTCCCTCAGTGAAGTGAGAGGGATGGCTTGTAGACAAAGGGCCTTTTCAGCAGCTGCCCCAGACTATGGAACGCCCTCCCGAGGAAGATTTGTCTGGCGCCAAAGTTGATGACGTTTTGGCACCAGGTCAAAACCTGTCTGTTCCAGGTTTTTAATTGAAATAATATCAACCGTGGGTCCTGACGGCAATTCTTAGAGCACTGTATTTTTAATTGTTTTATCTTTTTATTGTTTTACTGTATTTAAATTGTTGTAAGCTGCCCAGAGTCCTTTGGGTACTGTGGGCGGCATATAAGTAAAATAAATATTGAGCTCCCCCCTTACACTTTAAAAAACTTTGATCACTAGAGTGTAGTTTTTTTCATTAGAATTAAAAAAACATTGTATTTCACTGCAACCCATGTGGAAATTATGCAATTTCTAGGCAACAAATCTGCAAAACCTTTTACTTTTGGGGGTGGAGTGGGGGGTAGGCCAGTTTCAACAACCAATACTGAAATCCAGTTTGCAGTTGTGGTTTCATCTGCATCAAATGACAAGCCATTCTACTGCATTTCTGCTGGGGATGAGTCGGGCCATTCACTCCTCATATGAACAAAATTGCCTTATTTCATACAGCACGGTAAATCTGTGGTAGAGGCATGCTTGGAGAAGTGCTACTCACAGGAAAACAAGAGGGAAAGGCCTCTAATGGTCTGTACTCAGACCTATCCTTAAAAAGATATGTGCCTCCAGATTCACTGAAAGAAAGCATGCTTCAGTCAGGTGGTTTGGAAAACAGCAACGTTAGCGCTCTACCCTGCATGCATGTCTATCTTCTCCTGGCCAGCCTGATGAAAGGTGAAGGACATGCCCTTGGCTACCTCCCTTATGAAAGTGCCAAATAAGTCTCGGTAGAATGCCGCTGAAGATAGTATCCGTTTCATATAACTGTCTGGTGTATGAAGGGTTCACACTTTGTTCTGCCTAGTCACTCTGGGAAGTAGCATTTTGCTGCAAGGTTGCATAGCAGAGGGATCTCTTAGATCTGTCCATGGCCCCCTGGGGGCTCCTGGCACATTTGAAGGGGGCCACAGACTGGAACAATTCTTTACACACAACCTTATAAGATTCATGGTGTGACTCATACAATTCTGATTCGGCCTATATTTCTTTCATACTATGTTTACGACCATGGCCAAAAAGAGATTGAGAATGGCTGTCTTAGATGATGCAGACTACATAAAGATAGCCACTACATAATTCCAATGGAGAAGACTTGAATAGCTTTATGACTGTGATAATGACTCGGTTCACACCATGCCCACTGGCTGAAATTGTGTTGCACTTAGTACAATGTAAAATTATGCTTGGGGAAATTCACAGGGAACTATTCTCAGCCAGTCCACACTGCATGTGTACTTGTGCAAGCAGTTGTGTAGCAACGCCGGTGGGAATGCTTGCTGGATGTAACTTCTGCCTTGGTATGAATTTTGGAAATGCTTATACAACTTCTAGTTACACAGGCATAGCTGTACAACAGGATTCTGGCCAATTCACTTACCTGGTTTTGAAGTTTTCATGTTACACTGCAGTACTAGGGCTGACATTAGGAGTTTCTCCAATTGCATCACCTTTGTTCTAGAGACTAGCTTCCTACACTGACAGCTGAACTCTGCACTTAAAGCTTTTTACAGCATCAGATAGTATGACAGTTGCAGAATGAGACAAACCTCATGTCAACAAGATAAGGATCTCCTATGCCCTGATAGCATCTGTGCTTTTATTTCTTCTAACAGCTTTCATATCAATCACCTGCCATTTCTCCCCTCCTATTTTGTCTTACCTAAAAATAAGTTGGTGCACATCCTCACCAACTTCTAGTGTCCTCACCCCAGATTGTCTCTATGTCCCTGGCCTAATGAGCATGAACACTACTGATGTCCGAGCTGCAATCATAGCAAGATATTGTGTCTTAGTTGCTTAACATGTAAGAACACAAAAAGGAGAGAACTGGAAATAAATTTTAACAAACTGAAGCACAATTATATCTACCAATTAACTCACATCGATTCCATTAGAATTTGCAGAAATCAAGTCTTAGCAAAAATATTTAGTTGTGGTCTATTTATATGCAGAAAACACATCAGGCACACAAACATGGCTAGAGCACAAAATGATTAGAAGTCCTTATGAATTTATTTACACAATTATTAAAGTACACAAATACAGTGATAATACAAATGAGGTGTTCCGAGATATTTGTTACCAGTACACAGGTTTATAGAGACATTCTAACTATATTTTCAGTAGGTGATGGTGGGATTTATCTATAATGTAGGGCAAGGACTGCCCACAACCAAGTACAAGTTGAGAATTTGCATCAATCAACTTTTTAAGTATAGTACAGCAACTGAAGTTTCCAGATATATAGAGAGAAGAGGCTGCCTTTATAAGTCTCTAACATTACATCATTGACCACAAGTATTTACAAAGAATGCACACTGAAGTGTAGAACTGTACAAATGGAAGTGCACATGTCCAAAGAACCAACATCTACAGTAACCAAGTGATACAGTTATTCAAACTTCTCCAGGGACCAACATTAAAAACATTCCCATTGCACTCCCCCAATTGTAGGATGGACCAAATCAGACCTTGACCACTTGGTTTACATTTTAAAGTAATTAAAGAAAAGTGACGAGATTGCTCATACTTCAAAATCCAAAATAATAATAAAAATTAAAACAAACAGAAAAATGAACTAGCAAAGCTTTCAACCAATAAAATGCTTGCAAACAAACAAACAAAAACATGGGGTTGAATTGGCCACCACGTTTCCAAGGAGCAAGAATCTCACATTTCCTGATTAGAAAAAAAAAGCAGTAACACAAGACAGCTATGTGTTGTACCTCCATTCTCCAATAGAGCTGATGTCATTTTTGAGTGGTATTTGGTATGACTCACATGCCTTCTGCTTTCCCCAGACTAGAAAGAAACAAATATATTGCTTGTGAAAACAAAGTCTTCCATACTTATAGCTGGCCTTCTCATTTGCTAAGGTACATGTTTTGGAATATATCTTCAGCTGAAAGGCAGCTGTTCTAGACTTTTATACTTTAATATTAAAGAACTCAACAAGCTTGAATGCTTCGAAGTCTTGGCATCTTGCAGCAGGAACATTTTGTTTGTAACGCCGAGCCATGGCATAGGGCAGCAGTCTGTAAGCACTGTTCCCTGTGTCTTCAAGAGAGGCAGACATACTACAACACTGCTCACATCACAGTGACAGCAGAATTTATTGGCATCTGTACCAGAAATTGAGCAGGAGCCATCATGGATCCTGTCACCTATGAAAGACACCTCTATGCATGAAGGATCACACACGTTGTACATTCAATATTAAAACCTTCTTGAACATGCCACTGGCTTTTGTTCTTTAGCATTTATGAAATATTCTTATCACCTCTGGTGGATACAGCTATTTCTCTTCAAAGTATTTCCCACTCCTTCATGGACTGCATGAAGATTTGATTTAAAAAACAACCACCTGGAAGAACAAGACAGCTAGAAGCAAAATTAAAAAAAAGTTGTTTTGTTTTTTAAAAACCCAGTCCTGGAGAACACCTTTTCTCCGCCTCCTCGGCAGGATGGGACTATACAAAAGTAAGCAGCACAAAATAAAAGCAGCCTGTTCTAACTGATTTACACATTCCCTGCCTGGCTTAAGTTTACAAGAAATTTCAAGTCTTTTATACTTTGTTTTAATCTTCAGGATTGTTCACATTTCTACATAGGTTTCGAATGAGACAAAAGCGAGATGGAATTCTTTACAGAGAGAGTTAAGCCAACAATATTAGCAAAATGAATACAAAACTTTCTGAAACCAAGTAAAAGATTTATAGTTACAGTAGAACAATAAAAAGGGGGTAAAGGCTGCCGCCTGTGGAGGGAGAACTGAAATGGCTATTAAATAACAGGCGGTTAATGCTGTAAACCGTCTCTTCCTTTTCCAGTTCAGTTGCTCGAGTTCACATAAGGTTATCATGTTTCTGGCCAAAGCCTCTTTGTAGTGGCAGCTGCTGGATTCTGTCCATGTTTCTGCAAGGATCTTTAGTAAGTGGCAAGGAGAGATCCAGTTGTAATATTTCTTCTGCTCTAGTTTGGGGTAGTTTTGCTAGTAAAAGCCATTTTGGTAACATAGGAGATCAGCCATGCATTATCTGCTCCTCACTGGCAACATTATTTCACCGATGCACAGCAGACTGGAGAACGCTGGTCGTCGCCAGAGCAGGAATCTAGTAAAGCCAAGGAACAGGGGATCAGTATCAGCCTAGACCCTACTTGAAACTGCAAAAAATGTGGCTCCAACTAAAGCCGCTTCCCATAAATACCAACCAAGCAGATGCATCCATTTCAGAAGGATGAAATGAAAAATGCAGAAAGTCTCATGTTCTGACAGAATCCATGTTACACCCACCTGTGATAACCATGAAGTGCAAGACATTTCCCTTTTGTATTAAGGTTAAAGCAACAAAGGCACCTCATTAGCAAGGAGTAACAGCATGGAGAATGACCAAAATAAAGAGGAGAGCACATGCTGGCAAAACAGAATAGATCAGATGATTCAAGTGAGCTTTTGAATCGGAGATGAAACCCAGATCAACAGGCATGATGATAAATGTCTAGTGTTACCTAAAAGGAATGCGCCTTTTCAGCAGTGATACTGTTTTGAAGATGCTTTACAATATAGTTTTTTACAGCAAATATGGTGTTAAGCAAGACCCCATGAACGCTGCAACCAGAAATCCATGCCAAATCTGGCAGTGCAGATGGTCCATTCCATCTAGGAGACTGAAAGGGACATAGACTAGGTGGGCATTAGGATCTAGCAGTTATTGTGATGGCTTAACAACAGTATAGGAAGAATATAGTAAGACTTTCTGGATTGCCTCCCTTTCTCACAAGGCTTCTTTTCATCACCATCCACCCGACAAAGAGATTATGTGCTAATAGGCCATCTATGACCAGTGGTGAACCGCCCTTTTCCAGTAAAGGTGTTGGAATGTGTGGTGGCTGAGCAGCTCCAGGATCTCCTGGATGAAACAGATTATCTATCCATTTCAATCGGGTTTCAGGCCGGGTTATGGGATGGAGGCTGCCTTGGTCGCCGTTTGACAATGTTTGCTGGGAGAAAGACAGGGGGAATTCATCCCTTGATTCTCCTGGACCTCCCAGCGGCTTTTGACACCATTGTCTATGGGGTCCTTCTGGACAGATTGGCTGGGATGGAAATGGGAGGCACCATTTTATGGTGGTTCCGCTCCTACCTGGCTCATCGAGTGCAGGTGGTGGTGCTAGGGGACAGTAGCTCTGATCCATGGCGGTTGCATCATAGGGTTTTTCTCAGGGCTCTATACTGTCCCCCATGCTATTCAATATCTACATGAAACAGCTGAGGGAGGTTGTTAGGAAGTTTGGGCTGAGGAGTCCGCAATACGCTGACGACACCTAGCTCTACCTCTCATTCTCTACCATTCCAGGTGTGGCAGTCACCGTTCTGAACTCGTGCTTGGACTTGATAATGGGCTGGATGAGGGTCAATAAACTGAGGTTCAATCCAAACAAGTTGGAAGTGCTGCTGGTAGGTGCTCTGCCAGATAGGTTAAACGGCCATTTCTCTGCCCTAGATGGGGTTACACTCCCCCTAAAGGACAGGGTCCGCAGCTTGGGGATGATCCTTGACCCAGGTCTGACCTTGGAAGCCCAGGTGGACTCTTGTGTCCAGGAGTGCCTTCTTAAAGCTGTGGAGAATATATCAACTTCGCTCTTACCTGGATGAGCAGAGCCTGGCAACAGTCACACATACACTGATAACAACTAGACTGGACTATAGCAATATGCTGTATGTGGGGTAGCTTTCAAAGACGGTCTGGAGACTGCAACTGGCACAGAACCGGGTTGCACAGCTAGTACGTGGTGCTACTGCATGGACTCATATCGCACCTGTTCTGAAAAATTTACACTAGCTGCGGGTTGCTGTTCAGGCCCAATTCAAAGTGCTTACTTTGACATATAAAGCCCTAAACGGCTTAGGACCTGGCTCCCTAAAAGACCGCCTTCTTCCATACGAACCTGCCCGTCCTCTAAGATCAGGCCAGGAGGCCCTTCTGAAGGTGCCATCCCTGAAAGAGGCGAGGGGGGGGGCATGCCGAAATAGGGACTTCTCGGCTGTTGCCCCCAACTTTGAAGGCCCTCCCTATAGAGATCCGACTGGTTCCAACACTTTTGGCTTTTTGGCTCCAGGCAAAGACCTTTCTGTTTAGCCAGTATTTTAATTAAATAGTATTCTTTAGGTGGCCATATGAGCAGCAGGATTTATTAATATTAGTGTTTTAATGACTGTTTTTAATATAGGGTATTATAATATCGCCTATTTTTAATGTTTTTAAAGTTTTAATATTGTTGTACACCACTCAGAGACCATTGATAATGGTGCAGCTTAAAAAATCCTGTAAATAAAATAAAATAAAATTTTATAAAGCCATCAAGATCCTCCAGTTTCTCACCCGGGGGCGAAAGTAAAGGTTTTGCCTCAACTGAACTAGACTACAATGTGCCTCCAGCTCCTCTCCTGAGATATGGGAGAGAAAGAAAGTGCTGCTAACCTTTAATCATCCTCAGGGAAGAGATGCAATAACAATGTGATACACCCATGTGCTCATAGAAGCCTTTGTGGCTATAAGTTGTTCTTATAAGCATGGATATGGAAAATGAGGAGAAATGGGCATTTTCTCATTTTAAACTGCAAAGCCAGGCAGCAAAGTGTTTGCCAACCTGGATGCATGTGTAGAGCAGCTTGCCCAAAACGTGTGGTGGAGAGGAAAACATTTCACACAATTCAACCAGAACTTGGGAGAGTTGGGCTCAAATTCCATGGGTGCTGTGGGGCCAGTTACACACACTTTTAGAGTGGGAACTACCGGTTTGGCCTGTTCTGAGGATAAAATGGGAGGCAGCAGGATAGCCAGGTATACATCCTTGAGCTTCTCCGAGGAGCGGTGGGGGATGGTCACAGTACATAAATATCTGAGTCCTCAGATGATACTCCAGTAGCCAAAGTTATATTAGCCAGATTTGTACAATATCTGAACTGACAACAAATCCACTTTATCATATTGATTCAGCCAACGGGGTCTACCCGGACTGTTTCTCTGATGCACAGTTCACAGGGACAGGCAAGAGGTGGTTAATTACTACAAGTAAAAGAGTGGGCTGGATTCTGCGGTACTTTCCTCTAAACTTCCACCATTTACAAACAGGAACTGTATTTAAAGGCAGCTATCTTAACTTTCCTAGCTGCAGCTTATCCCAAAACATTTGACTTTGCCTACCTCAGCTACTCAGCTGCTGAACAGCCCCTTCACTTCTACCTAAACTGGGATGGGGTGTGGAGAACACACATAAGGAGTTACCTGAAATTCAGCGAGCTGAATGACTGCCAAGCCATCTGTCAGGGGTATACAGAGCATCCTCCTAGTACTGTACACACAGCAGGGATGTGTGGCTCTCCGAATGTTGCTGAATTACAAATCCCATCACTTTAAACTACTGTACATGTTGCTTGAAGACAATTTAATTGTCTTGCCTCATAACAACAGACTGTCGTTCAACAACACTGGGGGACCACAAGTTCTCCACACCTGGCTTAAGGCAAGCCATGCAGGCTTTCTATGTCTTTGTTGCGATACTGCCCTTATGATTGGAGTGCTCCTTGCAGAGAAGTGCAGCGACGTGTCTGCTGAACACAGATCAGTGTGCAGCATGAATGGTGGTCTGAAAGAGTTCTCCTGCTCAGCTGAAATTCTGAACAGCTGGATTATCCAGATGATCCGGCCCCATGTGGATAATCAGTTGGCTAATGTAATTAACAAAGTAAAGAGCCATGGAGTCAGACAAACACAAAAGCAGCAGGGAGGACAGAAATTAGAATTCTCCTGCACCAACAAGAGATGTTAGTATAAGATGGAGCTTCATCAATGTCAGTGAGAGGCAAAGCACCCCAAAATGGAATCTAAGCCACAAGATTTCTCAATCTGACGGAAAAAGCAAAAGGAACAGCTTCTAACATAGTTCAGTTTTGCAAAAGGCTACAGATGGCCCCCCACACTTCGTTTCGCCCTATCTGCAATCAAAACAAAAAGAAAGATCAACCAGTAAGCTTTAAAACTGCAGCTATCACAGGCATTCATTCATTTTTCTATCAACTCCTTCCTGTACAGAGTCCAACAGCACAGCTCTCAGCTTCATTAGCAATTTTGAAAATGTTTTTTTTAATCTTTGGCTGCTTGTGGGAAAGGGAAGATAAGAGGCTACGCTGCCAAGAAATACATCTAAATTAGGCAATAAAGACTCGTGTGCAACGTTTCACAATGCTGTCAGTTGTGGAGGATTGTTTTATTGTCTTGTCCAACAACGAGTTATTTCCAGTGTAGCAATGCTAGAATAGGTATTAAATTTGAATTTAACAATGATCTTCAACAACAATTTTCAATCTATTTTAAAATCAGCAATAATGTTCTCCTTGAGGAAGCAGCACATTAATCTGCAGATTTTGCAACAATATGTACTGCAGACTTATTGGAAGAATCTACCTGTGTAAACAGCCATCCACATGTATTGCTAGAGGAGGCTACAGGGACGGAAAACACATAGCTCGCTAGATGCTTCTGAATTGTAAAATGCAGGCTAAGGCTGACAGGAGTTACAGTCTAACAGCAGGTAGACAGCCACATATTTCCCACTCCTGTATTTCACTCTAGAATTAACTGCCTTGGGATGCAGGTGTTATGGAAGATGTTTATTCGGATTGGCAAGACGAAGTCATCTTACGATGTAAACAGTGTGTTTAGTCTTCTTCAGGTGTGCCAGTTTTCCTACCAAGACTGCGCTCAATCGGTACGTGCAGCAAAAGAGATTGTGAGTAAATATGGTACTTACTCTCTCTCCCATGGAAATGAGCACAGTGCGAGGAAATGAACGCCACATAAAGCACTGCAGCTATTCAACTGTAACTGTGTAAGGCTACCCTAAGCAGTAATACATACTACTGTATCTGATTTGTCTTCTTAGAAATAACTTAGTGGAGTAGTTTTGGTGAAGTACTAAAGGCTTAAGAGGAAAAGATAGTTGCATTAATTTGAAGCACATCTAATACTACGTCGTCTGCAAAGCAGAAGAAAAGAAAGTGCAGAATTAACATGAACAGTCACCCAATGGGAAGTCCCCAGAGGAGTTAATCAAAACCCACCCGCCAAGCTGGTGTCTAGCGAGAAGGGACTCACCCACTGCTGCTTTCCAACGAGAAGGAGACGAGCAGCTACTTGCCATGATGTTCGAAGGGAATGCTATTCTGAGGTGGGGGGGAAAAGACAGCCATTTATAACAATTCCACTGCCCAATGTATACTTGCAGACTAAGTGGAGCGGTTTTTAATTTGAACAGTGTTGCCTCTGATCAGAAGTCCCTGCAAAGTTCCCAGCCTCTCAGCTTGATGGAAATGTATTTGACAGTGAGTGTGCGAAGAAGGGCTGCTTCAGCAGCAGGTGGCAAGCCACAATCTTTTGGAAATGTTTTTCCCCCCTTGTTCTGGAAATTCTCAGCTGAATAGGGCCATCACTTGGTAACTGTTTCTCGCCGGCACTGGCCACTGATTCAAAAAAAACATTTTCCTTTCTCACCATGACTACCTTGAAGAGCACTTAGTAACAGAAGAAAACCATAGATTCTCCCTAGCACTACATTATGTGAAAATCCCAGCTGGAGCACTTTGGATATGCTCCACAAACACACAGACACACCCTCGCCAGACCAAACACTAAATTAAAGCAGCAGCCTTTTTACACCACCATAACTGTCCAAATCATGCACATAAAATCTTACAGACTTGAAAGATTCTCCACATTTCTGTGTCTATTACCAATTTTTCAAAAGCATCTCATCCTTCTAATAGAAATTCTTACTGCTAATGAATGTCATGATTTTTAAAAATCACTCTTGTTGGATAGGCACAGATTAACTATTCCGCCCCCCCAGCAATTCATTCATGATTCCTCCTTTTCTTTATATACACAGCAACACATGTTCACACACATATAAGGTGTCTTCCTAGCAGCTAAGCAAAAATCACCCTCTTTTAAAAGTATCAGTCACTTCTCTTCTGCTACATCAGGGCAATCCCACAGTGTTTTAAGTCTTTAAAAAACAAAAACAAACAAACTCACACAGCATGAAATGTAACATTTAAAACACTATATAGAATTTTTTTTGGTAGTCTTGGTTGACTATCTCTGCTCCAAGACCATGAAGCTTAAATACCTGGAATTGGAATAAATACTAATAGAACTTTCAGATTACTGTTTTAAAATAAATTAATTTCAGTATATAGTTTGCAATACCACCTTCAGTCACTAGATGACCAACCAGCAAGTAAAAAGAGGCAGGAAGGCCTCTTCGACAGGTTACTGAGAAACTGGGTCCTCACACGAGTGCCCCACATTATCAAGAAAGCTTTTAAACTCAGTAACTGATTGAGCTTCAATATTATCCACAAATAAAACTCCTGGGATATTCATACAACAGGAAGAGTATTTTTGTACATGTTTATCAATTCCACTGCCAGTTTTGTTTTCCAGCTAATTCCAGTCAACCCAAGCCATCATAGCCTTGCCAATTCATGCTCCAATTCATACAACTGGAGAAATCTTGAGTCTTTGAACGTATCACAAAGGAAGCTGAGAACAAGCTTAATAAGCTGAATGACTCATATTTATCTATGGGTGAACTTTTACAGAAGCAAGAATGATAAAGGAAACTTCCAGATGCAGACATTCATATAGCAGCTGTACAACAATTTAATTTGTGGAATTTAAAAAAGAATAACACTGAGGCTGTGGTTCAAGAAGAATTGAATTCAAGAACAAGAATTCTTTGCAAGAACTCACAGGTGCTAATCCTGAATACAAGCACACAGAAATCCCTGCTGCTAACCCATTCTACTTTCTCCCCAAAAGGGGAAGAGGCAAGGTGGGCAAGATTTCCAAGCTAAGGCCTTAGATGGCAGTGAGGGTCACACACATGACTGAATATCCCTCCAATAAACCTTTCCCAACACATAAGACTACCCAAGTCAAGGAAAAAAGCAGGCTGCGACCCTTCTACAATATCATGTCTTCTGCAAAGGGGGGGGAGGGGGCGCGGCATTTTATTATTTTTTGGTTACAGAGTAATATTAAGCCGGGATGTTCAGAATGCCCAAAGGCAACCCAATGGCATGGATGTCTGGATCTACTGTGCACAATCTGTTTATCTTCTGAAGAAAAAACTCCTCTAGTCTTGTAACCATTCTTCACCTGTACCGGCCCTCTGACCATATTTAATCACAACCGGGATAATTTCAAATCTGGTAAGATTATTGATGTGCAGACTGTTCACCTCTATGCACAGTGGATTTGATTTAAATCAAGTTGATTTAATCACAGTTTAAATCACTAGTCAGTAAAACTCAATTTAAATCATAATTTTTAAATGTAAAGACTAATTCTTGCTGGTAGTTATAAACTTTAATATTTGCAACCAGATGGAGATTTCACGTTTAAAATAATAACCTGTCAGATCAGTAAAACAGCTATAACAGAACACATTTTAGTTTAGGTTAATCACTCATATTTGGACGGCTACTTAAATTGTTTTATTTAACTAAAGCAATAACACATAGCATACATATTTTTGTATTTGCTTAAAATGTGTTCAGTGTTTGTAGACAGATTTGCAGAACAACAACGGGATTAAGGCATTTTCCTGAACTTTGTTCATTTTATACAATTTTTACTGTTAAAAAGTGCATGTTATCTCAGTTTGGGTAACTTGGATTAACTGAATTAGTTAGTGTAAAAAAATGTAAATATTGCCTGAATATACAGCTACATAACTAACTTCTATTTCAGGCTGAATAACCCTTGGGCTATAATGTATCTTAAATAGAAAATTATCTTTAGGTAGGTCTTTCCTCCAAAAGCATTAAAATAAATTTGATTTAAATAAAAAAATCCAATAGAAACAAAAAATCTTATTTCTATTTTAATCCACCCTGCCTCTATGAAAACCAGGAAGCCACACTCCATAAAGTCTCTGCCTATAAGAAACTTCACTTGTCCTCAGTAATTCCTCATTTAATATCTTCCCTGGCCAACATATCTAGAAGGTAATCTCCAAGTCATCTACTAGTTGTACGAGAAGAAAATTTTAGCAGGGGCCAAAATAAGAATCTGGTTAATAGGCAGGACCTAGGAGTTTAGCAGTTTTATTAAATACTACAGAGTAAAATTCAAACATAAGAGAAGTAAAATGTCCCTTTTAAATACACTTCTCTGCTCTTTAATAATTCTTCTTTCTTCATGGTCTTCTGCCTTTCGTATCATTTGCTCTTCCTTCTGCACTTCTTTCTTTGTAGCAACTTCAAATTCTGGGCTCCCCGCAGGCTGCACTCGCACCCCAGCCCCTGGTGCACCTGCTAGAGTGGCCACCAAGGAAACAGTTAAATGTTCACCGTAAGAGGTCATTCTCGGGATTTAATGCTGACAGAGCAAATATTAACTTGTGGTTCCAGCATTAAGAATTTGAATAATTTAATAACATGGAAGTACTTAAAAAATCTTGAACAGGCCACTCTTACTAGCTTAAAACTATGATAATACCAAAATATAAAATGAAAAATAAATATTGCTAGGATTTCCTTACTGAGATTCAGGTAATGTAGGCACAGCAAAGATGCTACAGTTCACCCGCATCAAGGAAGGTGATCTCTCAAACCACATTTGAAGAGGGAAAATCTTAAAAGTGCCACCAAAGATACATGGTTTGATATTGCTTGGGTATATCTAAAGATATCTTCTGTGGGATCACAGAGAAATATGTTAAAATGGAAGCCATCCATTTGCAACATCTGGTTTTGCCCAAAAGTAATGGAGTCTCAGTGACCTCAATGCTGATCTTTCTCTCTCACTGCCATGGCACTACACTACATATATTGTACCCAAAACCACAGCAGTGTAGAAGAGTGACCACCAGTCTCTTCTAAGGAAGCATTGCAGGGAGCTGTGCAGGCATACAGGAGCCATGGCACTACTAGCAAAGAGCCGTAATCACAGCCTCCATTGCAAAGTGCTGTTCTGTTGGTAGAGAAAGGGCTGCACAGTGCTAAGATGACCAAGTAAATACAGGAAGTAACTGCTGGCTATTTGGTTGGAAGGAACTGTTTCGCATTTCAGGCAAAGTACAAAATCCTTTTTTTTTAACTACTGGGATGCACAGCTGCATTAGATATTTCCCTCTTCAAACCAAGAGCTTCAAGTTCATCTGAAGGGCATTTCTCTCTATGCCTTGATGCTATAAAACTTTTGTTAAAAATTTATGACAGATAAACAATTTTAATGAGACGAGTGATAGTTCTAAGAACTTAATCTTAACATAATTGATAAAAAAGGGATAAATTGGTTTATTATAAGGAAAATAATTATAACTGTGGCATAACTTGTACTATTTCACTCTACCCCTAAAATTTTGTTGTTTTAGCTAAGCAGGTTGTCATCTCATCTAGATCCTGAATTGTGGTTATCATTAACAATGATTCATTCCAAAAAGCCAGCTACAGACACCACATTCTGAAGTTGGCTTGTTTGAAATCAGTCCTAGAACTAACCAGCACTCCCTGTAGAAGAGACACAAAACCAGAGTTAACCAAAACCATGAATAACCGAAGTCCTGTCCCAGCTATATATGTAAGATTTTAAGGGAGTCATTGGGAGGGGGGCAAAACTACTTATTCAAAAGCAGTTTGCTTTTTATTCTTCCGAAGCAGATAATGCTAAAATTCAGTATATAAGAAAGTGTCAACACATTAAGTGACTTCTGTTAAGACTGCTTGGAGTGCAGTGCTCAAAACAAAAGATTTGAAGACGTTTGACACAGCATCACTTGCTAGGTTTCAGTGGCCCTGATGTAAAAAAAAGGAAATAATTACATCCCAGGGTCTAAAAGCATTTTATTCCAGTTAATTTTAAGTGGTCAAAAGATGCATTTTCTCCTCTTCCTTCGGGGTCTGCAGGAGCTTGGCTTTACGGATGGAAGGATAAAAGAGACAGTTTCAAACTGCAGAATGTTTAATTTCTTCAAAATAAGAAAGCCTCTAAAAAGCTCACAAAAGATACTATTCAAACTCTAGATAAAAATATTATTCCCCACCCCATCCCAGGAGTTCAGTTTCATCCACATATAAGAGCTATGTCCAGTGCTTTCACTCATTCCCCAGAGCACCTACCAAAGATTAGCAATGGAAACAAGAAAGTTCATAAATATATTCAGAAAACATCCATTTCTTTGAGGCTTGAAATGGGGTAGAATTCTCAGGGAAGCAAGGTGACAGGGATGATAAATGCCTTTTAAAGTCAGATTTTGAGTTTGGGGAAAAAAAACCCTGCATTTGTGTCATTTAAATACCTGAATGATTCACTTTTCAGCCTTATGATATTATAGCATCATTTGGCACTTTATGGCAAATGCTTGTGTTGAATGAGAGATCTGCTTTCCTGTTTTAAGGGTTTTAAATCCCATATTCTTCTCTACTGACATCTGTGGCGTGTCCAACGGGCTTTTGTCTTCTATATCAGATACTGTTTGGTATTTGTTAAAAGACAGTGATATTTCAAGTATGTTTTAAAACTAAGTTCATAGGAAATATCTTCATCAGAGACTCCTAGCTAGAGAAAGGTTTAACATTTAAAGTTTCTATATGGTACCATTAAGGTGTTGTGTTTTTTAAGAAATTCATTCTTAGTAGCACAACCTACCAAGGGCAACCTTACATACCGTATTTTTCGCTCCATAAGATGCACCTCTCCATAAGACGCACCAAATTTTTAGAAGAAAACAGGAAAAAAATAATCTGTTTTCTTTCCCCAAAACTTGGTGAGCCTTATGGAGAGGTCCATCTTATGGAACACACCCTAGGACCCTTTGGAGGCTCCCCCTGCCTCCCCCGGGGGTCAGAGGGGGCGAAATCACTAGCTTCTGGGAGTCCTCTGAAGCTTCCCAAGCCTCAAAAGACTCCCAGAAGCTGGCGATTTTGCCCGTGCTGGCCCCGTGCAGGGGTGGGGGGAGCGTTGCAAGGGTCCTGGAAGGCTCACCCGGATCATTGTGGCGCTCCCCCCCACGGGGCCAGCGGGGATGAAATCGCTGCCTTCGCTCCATAACACACCAACTTTCCACCCCACATTTTTTGGGGGGGGGAAGTGCGTCTTATGGAGCAAAAAATACAATATGTTTACTCAAAAGCAAGTCTTACTGCATTCAGCAGAACCTATCCTCTAAAAAGGGTTTAGAGCTGCAGCCTTTGTGGTGGAAAGCTTCTTTTAATTATAACTAGAACAGTTAAAGTGAAATGCAATCAACACATCCACTCCCTTCCTTCCTTCGACCGAATGACTCCCCTTCCACTCACCCAAAATGGTGTCTTCAACAAACATGCACCATAGCTTTAGAATTACCCATTTCCAAGCCACAAAGCTTGTGGGTGTTCTGATTATCTGTTAACTTTAACTAGCATTCCTGACAGGCTGACCTGTGGTGCTTCAGCCATTCACAATTATAATTATAAAACCTTTTGTGCCTTAGATACTTCTTCATTTGATATTAAGTTGCAGACCAATTTACAAGTGCTACTAAACAGTTACTTCCTTGACTTAGTATACCCAATTCTAAATTCAAAACTAGTTTTCTGGCTGCTACCTTGGACTGCAAAATTAGCCACATGTTTAGAGAACTGCATTATGGGGCTTGTTGCCTTGCTGTAATTTTCATGGAACAAACCCTAACTTGGGAACATAAACCTGCGTAAGGGCTCATGTTGATTTGATTGCACATCACATATACTTTATGGGGAAATCCACAAAACAGAAACCAATATCTGATATTCAGATATCAGATTAAGAATATATCCCCTCTTTTTTTTTTTTTTGGAAATGCAAAGCAGTGACAAATGAAATACTGTCAATAGCCAAACTATTTCAAATCCACAAAAGAGATGTATTCATCTTCCAAATATACTCCTACCTTTTTACAGTGATCATTTACATCAATTGCCTTCTGCAAGTATTCTGAACATCTGAAGTGCGTTATAAAAAATAATTCATAGCATACAGGAAGTTACAGGCTATAATGACTGATCCCAAAATTAAGACACTTGCGTCGCTGCAGACAATATTAGCATTCACCTATTTGTTATATCTGCAGCAAAATGTGACTATTAGGCCAGTTCATGTTTCATATGGTGTAATAAAAGACACTGAAATTCCCACAGCTGTTGGAAGGATGTGCTCTCCAAATAAACATTTGAAAAGGTGTTAAACAAGGGATCTATTAGCCTTAGATTTTAGTAACTATGGGATGCTGCTATCCTTCACATTTAAACCTCAAGATGAAAGAAATGGAGCCTTCACTAGTAGCAACTCTTGAGTCAAATCAGATCAATAAAAGAACTGTATGTGTAAATATAACAATCACAATGTAAACTTTCTTACCACCTGAAGAACCACACAAAAAACAAACAAATAAAAGGTAATCCCATATTTCCTTCAATGTTTAAACAAATAATCAGAACGGTTTTGTACCTGTGAGGTTGACATGCGCGAGGTATCTTGTCGGCCTGTTAGATCGGACGAGGAGATATTGACAGGGGCTCCACGATGCAATCGCATACTCACTTTCCGTTCCCGCTCCATTCCAGACACTGGTCGAGGAGATGTGTTTGCTAAGCAACCACCCAAAGTAAAAAAGAAAAGCAAGTACTGTGCATGTAGTTACCAACAAAAGTAACTCTTGCCCTCTTTATTCTCTCTCAAGTAAACCAGCTTATGTTTCTAATATCCTGTGCAAGAACTTCTAAAACCATCACTCTCCCTAAATCAGGTCTTTTAAAATAAGGAAGTTCTAAATAAAGAACCAACGTTATGAAACATTGCTGTTCTTAAATGTACAGTGGTGCCTTGCAAGATGAAAGCAATTCATTTAGCTAAAAGCGCTGTCTTGCAACATTTTCATTTTGCGATTTCTCATAGGAATGCATTGCAATGCATTCCTATGGGAACCTTGCAAGACAAAAATAATTCATTTGTCCTGTGAGGCATCTGTCTTGTGAAAACCATTCATCTTGTGAAGCACGGCCATAGAAGAAGGCATCACAGTGATCACAAAAACCATTTGTCTTGAGGGTTTTTTGTCCCGCAAGGCATTCGTCTTGTGAGACACAACTGTACAACACTGTAAAATATCCATTTTAATGTTACACATGGCTTAGGAATCTAATTTTCTTACAGTCTATGTTTAGTTAATTTCAGAGTTGTGCTTTAAACAAAGGTTCTTTCTGCCATATATCTTAATTATTGATTGACTGATTTGTCTGCTCATTTTTACCTGTACAGTACAGTGGTGCCTCGCTTAGCGATGTTAATCCGTGCAGCAAAAATCGCTGCTAAACGATTTTAAAAAGCCCATAGAAATGCATTAAAACGCGTTTAATGTGTTCCTATGGGCTTCAAGACTAACCTTAAGGGAAAATCCTCCATTGCGGCGGCCATTTTGGTGCCTCTAAAGCGAGGCAACACAGCTCTTGCGATCGCAAAAACAGCACTGCTAAGCGATTTTGTCGTTATACGGAGCGATCGCTAAGCGAGGCACCACTGTATATTGTTTGTATTTATTATTTAATTGCATTATGGAGTCGTACATAAGTCTAAACAAACAAACATTTTAATGGGTTTTTTAAAGTATTGCTTTTATGATTGCATTATTTTAGTTTGTAGTTTAAAGCATACCACAATCCTTTGAGGGATTAACTCTAAAATGCACTTTAGAGCTAGTAAATAATATGAAAATAAATTAGAATTTTTGCTCAGCTTTTTAGCTACCACACTTGATTTTTGGTTTAAGTTACATGAATTAGGTAGACACTTTAATTTCCATAATTTATAACAAATGGTCATTTTACTATTTTCAAATCTGACTGGAAGTCACTCTCCAAAGCACTGGGCCCTTCCTGGAGGTTTTCGGGGCCATCTGGGAACTTCTGCATGCAGAGTAGGTGTCCCACTCATTAAACTCCAGCTCTTTCCCATAAATAAATGTCCAACAAACATATCTTCCCTCATATTTGGAAGATCTTCCTAATTATATTTTTTATATATGGTTGACAATACTTGTACTAGTACTAGTGGTCTGTATTATGCTTTTATATGAAAGATTTGGTCCAAAACCCCACTCTTCTAACTTACAAGCTGGCCAAAGCATCAGTTCGCCCAATTTTACCCTGCATGGTTTTCTGAGGAAGGAAGAAATGTGAAGTGCTTGCAGAGTAAAAAGAGGCAGAAATACAGCAAATTAATTCAATGAGATTCTTTACAATTCTGCTATTACGGATGGGAATCAGGTATAGCTGTATGATTTCAAGGGTTGGAGAAGGGCTGGTTTGCATCCCTGCTCAGCCACGGAATTTGCCAGACAACCTTGGACAAGTCATTCTTTCTCACTGTAACCTGCCTCATACAGTTCTACAGATGATAAAAGGGTGATGGTGGAGGAGTAACAAACCTCACAACTAGGCTTAATAAACATGTAATGCACACATAAAATGAACAAAAACACTAAACATTTAAGTTTTCTTGAAGTAGTCATGAAGAAATACAGGCATATTTTCTGTATTCTTTTCCCTGTAAGTTTACCAAGAAACCACCTTCCCAAACTCTGGAAAGCTACAAATCCTTTTCTGCTTCAGAAAAGCTTCATGGGAATGAGGCAGCACACCAGGCTGCCCAACAGCTTTTTCTGCTAGTGGGAGCAGCTGAAGAGCCACAGATGTTTCATCTATGCGACACTGGAATGCACCACTTGAGTTTGTCTATTTTTTTTACATACCAGAGTGCCAGGTTCTGATGTCACAACAAACGAACTATGGATGGAAGTCCTGCAAGTGGTTAAGATATTCCCACAACATGGATAAATGGCACATGAATCCAGCCAACCTCTTCAGTATCTCAGTATGTAATCCTAACTCTACCAACACTCGACTTCAGAAAATACAGTGGCTGGTTCTTTCAGAATACAAGACAGCCAGGATCTAGGCATTCCTTCAGCTTACCTGTATGCGAAGTGGGGGTTAGAGGAGTTGGTGGGGCTACATCTTGTGTCCCTCTCAGCCTGCCAGAGGCAGTGGAAGGTAATCCACGAACAGCTGGATTTCGTGTGTGTCTCATTCTTTCCTCTCTTTCTCTCCGTTCACGTTCTGCATCTTCAACTGCACGGCTTGCACCCTGCAAGAAAAATAGGTATTATGGTTAGAAACTGAGTAAAGTTGTCACTCTGTAACAGAGACAGTAAATAGTTTCAGCTGCTATGTCTTTCTTTTATTTATTACAAATATTTATACCTCATTTGTCTCCTAAAAGGGACCCAAGGAGACTATTCTTATCTACACTTATAATAGACAAGGTGAGTTTGCATCTCTTTTATTTAATGTTAAAAATTTGAAATTAAACAGTTTAAATAATGTAGTTTAAAACTTTTTTACTTTACGGGGCAGTTTCATTTTCAAAGCTACATGCTGAGCTTCTCCAAATTGCTGAAAGTCAACAGGGTAAGGAGGAAAGTTTTCTGCTCAGAATTGGATTCACTGCATCTTAGGGATTTAACAAGTGGCGCTGGGCAAATTTTTCTTTCAATGATTTCCCCATTAGAGAAGGAACTAGAGAAAAACTCAACTTCCATGATGCAATGACTTAAAAAAGTCATTAATTGGACTGGATTAAATTGCAACAGATTGGATCAAAAGGATTAGAGCTCTCAATGTCTCCCTCCCATGACAGAACCCCAGGAGGAGCCCCATCCCCAGCTGGGTCTTGGAGCTGAGCAAATAGTTTCAAGAACAGAATACACCTTGAAATGTTGAGGAGTGCCTTCTTCAGAGTTAAATATCTTAATGAGAACCTTATAAATACATGCTAGTTTTAATAAAGTCTAGTTTGTCAAGAACTTGTCAAGAAGAGGAAAATTTAACAGAAATCTGTGTATTAAACCCAAAATTTGAGGTGACATGTACCAGAGCCACCCTATAAAAGGGGCTTCCTAGATTCCTCTCAGAGACCTTCAGTTCCAGCTTCTCCCATCATAGGGGAAGATTGTAGTGGCCATGCCCTATGAAACTCCAGCAAATGGAGAGCCCAGGTAGTGAGGCTTCCAGATGCCAAAGGCTGTAGTAATCTTACTACATGGGCTAGAAGTCCTGACTGGGACTCTTTGTCCCACGCCTCTTCTCCTTCCCTTTCTTCCAGGCAAAAGCCGACCCCTACTCTCTTCCTCCAACAATATAGGAACACAAATGTTGGAACTACTGTTGGTCCTATAGACCCGGGCATGGAATGTGTAGCCCTCCTAATGTTAGCGAATTGCAACTTCCATCACCACCATTGTGTGTACTGCTGAGCAGAATTATATTACGACAACTGAAGGCTCACAAGCTGTAGTTATGGGCTGTAACAAGTTATCCACTCTTGCAACAGTCCAAAACTACAGCTAGAAGTACAGTTTTACTGCTTTTAACTTTGATTCTACCATCACTACCATCACCAAGAATGGCAATTATCTTTTTAAATTGGGTCCAGCAGCATTCTAGTTGTACAGCATTTAATATCGGGGGGGGGGGGGAAGACTCAGAAGAAGGAAATCAGCAAAGCAGAGAGGAGATGCAGCACTGGGCAACCTCATTATTTTCTGTTTCATACTAAATAGTGTTAGAAGATGAAAATGAAGGAAGTGTGAAATTGTGATTGCTTTAATATGATTTTTACCCAATTCTATAATGACCTTTACGTGTGCAACCTCCCTATCAGCATGGTATCTTAAAGTGGCATGCACACAGCAACTACTGAGAAATATATCATGTGTAATCAAAACCTACAGACAGAAAAGATTTATCCAAAGCAGAGTTTTAATAACACAAAGTAGAACAGATAACAGGATTTTTGATTTCAGGGACACCAGAAAACAATCTACTGACATTTATGCCACCATAAATAACCAATGGCATCTTGGCCACTATTCCCGTTTTCCCTTTTATAAATGAAGAAACAAAGATGAGCAGAAATATAGAATTCCTGGTTGAAAGTCTAAACATAATGGGAAAATTGAAATTCATTCAGCATTAGGAAATACCAGCATTTACACTAGAGCCACAGAAATTACTAGCCAGCTAAAAATTATTTGACCAACTAGACTACATTTCTATGCTGACCTGAATAACCTGTATTTTTAAACAGAGTATGAAAGGAACAGATTGCTGTCTCACCTCCACCAGCCTGCTTGAATTCTGTGCTATTTTTGAGGAAACCGCTTTGCTGCCTCCATGACTGGCAGGAAGACAAGATAGACTGGGGTAGGAAGTACAGAGATCCCCTGTTCTTCCATGAAGCTATTCATTTGCTTATACCGCATTCTTGGCTGCTTACAGCTATCAGATGACCTAAATGCTGGACATTTAGTCTGGCTTGAAGGTAATTAAGCCCTCCTGTACATTGTACTGCACCTCAAAGATCTAGTTTTCTTAGACAACATTTCGGGTTTTCCACACTTAAGTTGCAATGCAGTCATGGCTACTTACAAATTTAAGCATGTTCCAGTCAAACACATAGTCATAGGAGAAGCCTTGTCTGTGGAAGAGGTTTCTGAATAATTGCCTTAGATATGAATAATCTGGCTTGTCATCAAAACGCAACGAGCGGCAGAAATTCAGGTAAGTAGCAAACTCAGCTGAAATGAAAAGTCCAGATCATATTACCACAAAGTCAATGCAAACAAAAATGACTCAATACAGATTCAAAATCAGTTCCAAAAGCAATGTGGCTTTTCACATCTTGGGAGCTATTCCGCTATGGCCATGACCTCAACAATGGCAGTAGCAATGACAGGCATATTATCATACTGCAGTGGTAGTCACAGACAACCTTACAAGAGGACAGGTCTCATGCAGTCAGCCTCAGATATAAAAGTTGACAGATTTCTTCACAGATGAGAGCGTTCTGTTCTCTCTCAGAACAAAATCAGGACATTAAGACAATTAGGCACCACGGTTCAACTCTGTACCTCCAGTTTTCCCGTGTAAAAGACAAATGCAATTTACAAAACAAATAGTTGCTAGGAATCTTGCAAACACAGCCCCTCCTTAGCAACTATGGGTACATAACAATGCATGTAGACATAATGTGCTGACTGAAGATGCTGTTTGCTTTCCTAGTGTAGTGAGCAGTTGGTTGTGATGAGCAAACATTTGTAGGCAAGAAAAACATAGACACTAATGTCACTCTGAATATGAGGAAAGGGAAAAATGGGAAAAGAAAATTAAGTACAGACTATGAAGAGAACATGCATTCATTTAACCTGAATTATAGACGAACCACTCTATAAAAGTGGCAAAATAAGTTTAAAGTTGGAAATGGAACAGAAAATGTAAGACCAAGTTAATACACGTTTCACTGAGAAATTAACTTCAACATCAATATCAAAGAAATCAATTCCATAGATAAACTTACAAGGATATCCTTTACACAAAACCTCAATGGGAGTAGACATTTTCTTTTCACTGATGCGTTCATATTTCTGTCTCTTTGTAGCTGCCTTCAATCCCTGCCAGGGGAGGGAGCCCAGGTTAAAATACATGAGTACATAGCCCAAGGACTCCAAGTCATCTCTGCGAGATTGTTCTACAAGGAGTATAAGAGTGGAGCCATTAGGTTCTATCCTCTGGTGAAATGGTACAAAGATATTTAATGCAACAGATCACACAATGAAAAGCTTACCTGAAAGAAAAACATGGCTAAACAGTTATTTCAAAGTTGCCAAAGAATCAGCACGATTACTCTCTTGCAATTTTAGTCTTAAAACTTAACACAAAACTAGCAGGGAGCAAAAGATCATGTGTTACAAATCTTGAACTGTGCACATTCTTGCAGGGGTTCAGAAAAAATGGCTTAGCTAAATGTATGGCTGCCACCACCTTCTCAAAAATAGGCTAGAAGCCTGGAGAGCAGCTAGATCTCATTTCATTTTGCATGCGCTGCATGTAATCTCTTGGGACCCAATCTGGTGAAAGAGACCTCCTCCACCGCATTCTCCAAAATTCACAGAAAACACCAAAAAGGGATATAGGAAACCTGTGTCTAGGCAAGCCTCGTAGACCAGACTGCCAGGAACAGACAACTGCAATACTGCAGAAAGATAAAAGAAAACATAGCCATGCAAGCCACCCGTAGAAATGAAGTTCGACCTTGGGTAAAAGCCTTTATTACATCACTAGTTACAAACAAGGTGAGCCTTTGAGTTCTACCAGAACACCTTATCACCCAAAGATGACATATAATTCAGGGACAGCGGAGAAGGCAAATAGTTCAAAATATTGGGCAAAATGTTATGTCCACTGTTCTTAAATACAGACTGCTACTGACAGATCCACAGGCGGCTGAGCTACCTATTGTCTACCTGAAGAGAAGATGCTATAACATTTTTACATAACACATCTGTCCCGAATGAAATTGTAAGCTTCGCCTTGCCCTGCTAGCAGTCTGCACTCCAGAACTATGAGCACAGCATCTCATCTAACCTTTGGACTATTTGCTTCCTCCCGTTTCCAACATTTCTATCACCTCTGCCTGATGAAAAATTCTGGTAGAACTGAATGTTCACTTTGTTTGTAACTTTTCAGTATGCCAATGAAGGCCCTAACCAAGCTGAAACTGTGCAGACAGGCAGTTAAAGACCAAGAAACTAAAGATGATTCACACGAGTGTGCCAAACCATAGCTTGCAAGGTTAATGACTACACCCATGCACAGTACATCTGGAGGAGAATGACTATCCCCCCTCAAAACAAAGAAAAAAAAAGCTACCATACAACATTTTGCTTAACATAATCGCAGTCTAATTCCTCTGACACGCTAAATGTCCTTCAGTCATGTTAGTGAAGTTATGCACAAAGGTCATCAGAACTGTTTGATTTTTCAAGATCTCCATCACATCAGATTTTGTACAGCATTAACAACGTTAATCGGCTACCAGCTCACCAATTCCAAGATGAGTGTTAATTGAGGCATAGCGGGCAGTTCCTGTCAAGTTTTTATTTTCACGATATGGAATGTGCTGGTGGGTTCGAGCATCCCGGTATTTCTTGGCCAACCCAAAATCTATGATGTAGACAAGATTGCCCTTCTTGCCTAATCCCATCAGGAAGTTATCAGGTTTTACATCTCGGTGAATGAAGTTCTTCGAATGAATATATTCTATTCGGCTTATCTAATTGCAGAAACATAATTTCAGAATTATGAACATGCAATCTCTCCACAACCAGCTGTTCCTATAATGTTAAAATACCTACTTTGCTAAATATAAAGTTTAAATGCTACCCACTCATTTTACTGTGTGCATTATTGTATTCACTTAGATCACTCTTCAAACCCTGCACCTAAATTTAAGTTTCTTTTAAACAGCTTTCCTCTCAAGTCCCAGTATCTTTAGGATCTGATGCTTTGAAAAGGTGAGGCATGTAGCAGAATGGATAATATGTAGAATCTTGCCCATAGTCACTTTTTCAGTCTTTCTAAAATTACATTTTAAAAGGGATCCTGATAGTGAGTAAGCTGTCACACATAATGACAATCATTTGAAGTATCCTGCACAAACATATCCAGTTCCTGTCTAGTTCTAGAAGTAGAAGCATCTTACATTGCTTTTGAAAGAACAATTTTTGATGTAAGGATTTTAATTTTTAAAAGCATCGCTTTTTGCAGACAGAACATTTACATACCATCCATGAATTGGCAGCAAAAATATTCAGCAAAAGTTTTAAACAGAGATGGTTGTCAATAGCTCCTTTGACTTCATGACCTAACACATTAACTTTCCTCTTTGTAGCTAGGTGACTCACTGGCTGAAATGCAGTCACAATTATAGATGGTCCACTGAATCAAAGGAACTTACAAAGGAGTTGACTCACTAAGTCCTCACTGATTCAATGGCCTGCTGGATTTCAGCCATTGTTTCATTTTAATCGTCTATAGTGAGATATAGTAAGTGACTTGAGGATCTGCACTAGTAAATCTTTCAGACTAATAGATTTTTCAAACTTATTCTTCTAACCACTGGCAAAAGAAGGAAAAGATGAGAAAAAAGAGGAAACATTAAACTAACAGACTTTACAGACTAACAGATTTATTCCAATGTAAGCTGACACTGATGAAATCCACTTCTTCCTACCCAAGGATCACTTGTTCTTAAAAGCAACAGATTAAAAAATTAACAGACTATTACAAACAGACAAATATTTTTAAGTACAGCTCTTCAACCACTTCAGATTTCCACTTTCTAAGAACCACTTTTTTGGGGGGGCACACATTTTAAACAACCACAAACATGCCTCTCACTGCAGCTAAATGTATCATGTATGTTAAGCAAAAATAAATTTTGAAACATTACATCGACCATATTCTGAGCTATACAGTATTCCATATTCCAGTTGCAGGCACTCCTCAAGAAAGAGATCCCTAGTTCTTCCCTTTCTTATAAAACAATTATTTATAGTAACCCTATCTTATAAGCAGATTAACTATAATGTTCTGGTACTCAAAAATTAAAAAAAATACCATTTGGTCAGCAAGTAAAAGGACTGTCTTCAGGCTGAATTTCCTTGAACAGAAGTTAAAAAGATCTTCAAGGCTTGGTCCCAGTAACTCCATCACCATGACATTGTAGTCACCTTCAGCACCACACCATTTGATTGTAGGAATGCCCACTTGAAGAAGAGAAATTTGATTATTCATCATTCTATAAAAATAGTATGTATCACATATATGCAAAGAACAGCTTCAGCTTTCAGTTCTGTGCACTTATCTAAATTACAGCACTTTTTCCTCCTGAAAAGTCATACATTTCTAGGGAATAAATGAAACTGGAAGAAAGTACTCAATAACAACAGTCAGGTATGTTCTCTTTACTGGATATGATTACAGCAGGACACACTTATCCGCAGAATCAGTATCCACTGATTCACTTATCCATGGTCTGAGAATATTTAAAACATTTTAAAAATCCTATTTTCACATGTATCATCAGAACCAGTCACTACAGGGAGACAGAGACCATGCTATGAATACTGGTTAGTAAAGAATACATAGCATAGGGTCTGGTTCCTTTAGTAGTCAGTTCTGGTAATGCATTTGGAAAAAATCTGTTTTCCCTTTTACCATGCTGTCTCTCTCCTCCCTCCTTCTCACATTCACTATTATCCACAGTTTTCAGTATCCACGGGTGTATGTGTGCTTAGAACCAATCCCCAGCAGATAATGGGGGCTCTACTGTAGGAATAAGCACATCTAAGCCAGGTAGGAATAAGTACATCTAAGGCCAAGAAGTGGAACAGGACAGTAGCTGTGCTTTGGATCCTAACTTAAAGAATCACATTATTCTAGTTGGGCAGACAGTAATTTAAAAGATTGGCTTGGGCGATTATAATGGTACCTAAAACTTTATAGAGCACAAAAGGAATTCTATAGCATATTTGTGTATTGATCTGTCTTTAACCTGTTATTCATCTTTAGGAGAGGACTCCTTTTACCCCTCGAGGCAAATAAACTTACCCGTATTTTTCGCTCCATAAGACGCACCTTTCCATAAGACGCACCAATTTTTTAGGAGAAGAAAACAGGAAAATATAATCTGTTTTCTTCGCTCCATAAGACGCACAGACTTTCCACACCCCTGTTTTGTGGGAAAAAAGTGAGTCTTATGGTGCAAAAAATACAGTATATTTATTTCTAAAGAAATGTGTAGGATCATCATCTAATCAATTCTACAAATGTAATGTATTTAGCAGAAGCATTCAAATGAATGGCAGAGAAGGTGATCGGGTGACCAACCATAGACTTCTTTGTATTACACTACTTTTTCAGCCAACAGCTACAAAATTAGTACATCAGCACAGAAAATCTTTACCTCCACCTTGCATCATTTTGTAAATTTTGCTCTCAATATGGAGTTGAGGATGTTTGGTTTTCACACATTCTAATTTGATGGCGACCTCTTCCCCAGCAGCTATGTCAGTACCTAGAGAAAAGAAGAGAATTCAGGGTTATAATACAATGCAAGTCAGACTTGCATTTCTTTCTTTTGAAGAGATGTCTGCCTTGAACTGAATGTTAATCTGAAATTGATTATTTGGGAGGAAGGGGTGGGGGAGCAATACTATAACAATCTGAGAATATTTCTCTACCTACCATGTTTCCCCAAAATGGAGCAATACTATAACAATCTGAGAATACGGTATTTCTCTACCTACCATGTTTCCCCAAAAATAAGATAGGATCTTAAAGTAATTTTTGCTCCAAAAACGCATTAGGGCTTATTTTCAGGGGATGTTTTATTTTTGTCATGTACAACAATCTACATTTATTCACATACAGTAATGTCATCATCTTCTGGTTGTTGCACAATAGTGGAGGGTGGGGCTTCACTTAACTGGGGCTTATTTTTGGGGTACGGCTTATGTTACCAGCATGCTGAAAAATTATACTAGGGTTTATTTTCAGGTTAGGTCTTATTTTCGGGGAAACAGGGTAGCATATAGTCATGAAACAGTGAACTTTTCTGCAGACTACTGCATATAGAACATAACAGCTGATTTCCAACGAGTGGTTTTAGGCATACCCAAGAGCATATGATTTTTCTTTTGAGATTAAATTTTCTCAGTCACGGAGGGCTTTTGAAAGCACCCTCAGTTTGAAGCTGTAGTTTGCCATATGGTCTATGAAGGTATGTTCAGAAACAAAGGCACAGTGCTTCTTGCAGAAATAAAATTAATGTGACAAGTTCACGTTTTTTTAAAAACTGCCTGAAGAATAGCTTGAACTGTTTAAAATTTACCTTGAGGATTAAATACTTTAATTATTCATTTTCCTGATGTATTAGATTTAGCACAATTTAAACTGGTAGAGAAGGAGTTGCATATGCCCACTCTAGACCTCAGAGGGGTACACCTACTCCTGTGTGTCACACCTTCAAAACATTTTTCATTTTAAAAATGTTTAACTAACCTTTGTGCCTTCTACTGGCTGCAGGCAGTAATCATTTTTAGCTAATTGTGACCTGTTGTGTTTTTTTGGGGGGGTGAGCACAAACATTCTGCAGCCCAGGACAACTTGAGGGGAAAGATGGCAACACTGCCCCTCTACCCTAAAAGGACACAAAGGAATTTTAAATTTTAAAAAACCAGAAAAACAAAATTTAAATGGTGTGCATGTAGTAGTAGTAGTGAGGGAGCCAAGGGTGCACTATTATGTCCACCTCATGGCAGAGTATTGCCTATACACTATGCCATTTTGTGCATGCTACCTAGCAAAATAAATAAATTTTAGTGTTAATTTCATCAGGAAGATCTAGCACACAACTGTCATCTTCTGAACAAAGCTATTCTTAACCAAGGATCGATTATGGCCCATAATTCTATATTTCATCCCATGTGTGGAAAGTTTGTTATTTCCAAGCATTCGTTATTTTTCAAGCATGTCTTCAAGTCACATCACCTGCAATCTAGATTCTAAGAAGCAGCCCCAACTGAAAAGTGTCTCTCTCTGTGTGTGTGTGTGTGTGGGACCTGCTAGGATCATCAGATGATAAAATAAAGGGAAAACAAAGACTACTTCTAATCTAATCCAATAGTGGGAATGGACGAGCTGAGAAAGAAAGAGGCAGAACATATACATTGAGGGCCCACAGTATAAAATGGCTAAGGATATCACACACATTTCTGTTTATTCCTTACCATGTTAGCAAACTAGACTAAGCCTGTTTGAATCAATGGATCTTATAGAGGAGCTGACTCACAAAATCCACACAGATTCAATGGGTCTATTCTAATGTAATTTATTATGCTAAGCAACAGAATTTCAGGCAATGTGTGAAATGGCATATACAAGATTAAATCCAGCCAGCAAAACAGCAGGGAATAAATAACACGCTCCTTATTGAGTTAATAGAAATGGCTCAATTGCATTCATAATCAGATTGTCACAAAATCCTGAGTAAGGGAAGTCTCTCTTAGGTAAGCAGTTTTTCTGCCAACAAGTTTTTAGTGACTGGGCAACATTTCACAAATCTTAAGAAAACAGAAGCTGGCTAAAGGTCAGTTTCTGGGAAACACTTGATGCAGTTTGGCAATACGTACCAAGGATATGCAAGACAGATTTCACCATCTTTAAATGACTTCATTTGCTCATTAGCTTTTGAAATGAATGCTAGTATGCCATGGGACTTGCAGCTTCTAAGACAGGGGCAATAAGATCCAAATAACTTACTAGAAACTGCAGAAATAGAAGCTCTGCAACAAGGGTTCCCACTACCCAAAAAAAGGAATTACAGTGCAGCTTTATGTGAAAATTAGATATTAATCCAGGTTTTTAAAAAATAAACACAAATACTGAAAACATAAAAACAGTGTCAAAATAATTTTGCCAGATTTCATACGTACGTCTGAGTTTTAAAGCTTTTATAACTTCGGATCTTCCTTTTAGCAAGATATGGTGCTATTAAGAAATCTCCTCTTTCAATACAGATACAGAACTCTGGGGAACCTCAGTTAAGCTAGTCTTCATTTTGTGACTTAAGGCTTATCTTGAGAACACGTTCAAAGGAATATGCTTTTGTACTGCTGATGCAGAAGAAAACCATTGAAAGTGCAAGCAGCACATCCATTAAAGAAGTGTTTCAGAGCAACCCAATATAGGGACTCCTAGGCTGTATTTTATGATGCTTTAAGTATGTTTTAGATCCCAGCTCCCATATTCATTGACCACTAACCCACGACAGCTAGGGCTGATGGGTGATACAGCACAAAGCATTTGGATGCTGGGCTGAAGAGGCTAGTATATAAATTGTAACAGAGTATGACAAATGTTCACTAGTTTTCACTGCTACTAATGAAGTAGAATGTTGTCAGTGAAGCAGGAAGGAACACCCAAAGTTTAGCAAAGGAAATAGGAAGTCAACCATTACCAATTAGTTTCACTAAATAAATTTCTCATGGCTCTCACTGCTTTCTTAATTCTACAAAATGGAAGTCAGGAAAAATGGGAGGTGAGAGTCTTGTAGTACCTGGAAATGACAGCAGCATAAATGAGTGATCTCAAAAGCTCTAGCTAGATATATATTTAGTATGTAAGCCCATTCCTGCCTTGGCAACTGGCAAAACAAAGTAATGACCAAGACCTATCATTGCCTGTGTCAAGCCACCCAAAACTTCACTGTGCTGATAAGAAATCAGGGTCCTAGGATTAGACTTTGGTAAGGTGCCTCTCTACACTTCTAACCCTTATGTACTATGGTAGTCAAACAGTTAAATATCTTCAATGCCTTTTTGGGAGGCATGACTTTTCACAGCTCCACAAATGTCGGAATGGAAAGAGATGGCCTATCATCCTTGCATAGCTGCCTGGCAGATATATAACACACAGCAAATGAAGAGCATATGCAAGACTAAAGTGTGTGTGGTTAAGAATAAAAATAGCCTCTGCATCTATTCTAAACCTGACATCCCAGGTTCATATATATGCTTAATATATTTGTGCCCTTTCTTTTATATCACTCTCAAAAATAAAGTATTCAAATTAAAAGCTACTGCTCACAAACTAGAAGTTAATGATCAGTGCAAAACTCAAGAGCCACACAGGCCATATTTACAAGGATGGAACAAGATTAAGAAAAGCTTTGTGCAACTTGTACAGCAGCTTTAATTATAGGTGGAGGCACAATAGAATGACAATTCTTTCTACCACTGAAGCACACCCTTATGGAAAGGCCCAGAAGCACCACCTTGAACATCCAGTGAATAATGATACTGTGTACCATACAGGAAGGGAAATATCATAAAGCATGAATTTACAATTTTCTATGGTAAGGAATAAACCAGCAAAGACACAAACCAATTTAAATAATTCTAGAACACTGCATTTTCACAATCTTCTGATTTGGACTACTGATCCTAGATAAACAAGTTATTAAAACTTCAGTTATTATACAAAGAGACACATTTGGACTTATTGTTCCTGACAGGCACAGATGTGAGTATTTCTAGAACACTAGGGCTCAGATTTGGACTGACTATCAACCTGGTGCACCAGTATGCACAGTCAGCAACCCCAGCCATTCAAGTACTGTATGTACTGCAATGCATAGGCACAGGACTCTGAAGGACTGAACCCTAAGTATTTGCCGGCATCAGTTTCAAGCACCAGCTATTTTTTCTAGCTTAGCTCTGCATAAAGCTTATCAATCCAAAAGGAGACACCCAGACTAGCTTACAACATATAAAATGCAAGTCAAAATCCACATTGTTCCCTCAGGACTTTTAAAGATTCATTCTCAAATACGAAAGTTAGCCAGCCTCCAACTCATTTACAAATAAAACTGTCTTGAGAATTAGATTGAAATAAGTGCTTATGTTTTACTTCCTAGAAGTAACCACAAAGATACATTCTCTCCCTAAGCTGCAAATAAGCTACGGAAGTCATGAAACAAATCATGGCATGCATGACAAGGAACAAAGGGAGGGAGCCGTTTTCAAAACAACTCATAAAACTATGGGTAATGCGTTCTTTCTAAAAGCTCCACAGCAAACAGAGCCCCCCCACCTGAGTACTGTATTATGATCATTATTCTGACCCCCGAGCAGGCAATGGCCTTCCAAGGCTCCTCGTTTAGTCTCAGGACGCTTCGGCTCGGTGAGGGCTTGTCGCCGGGGGGGGGGCTTTCTGCCTCGCCAGCCCAGAGGAGGCCTCGAGG